CGAAGTCATTCCTGCTTTCGGCCATCAAACTCCTTAACTCCCCCCTCAGACAGTCAGACACTCTGAGTCACTATCATTAAACTGACCCTTGAAACGTCCTCTGATTAATGTGCAGTACTCTGATTAATGTGCAGTACTCTGATTAATGTGCAGTACTCTGGTTAATGTGCAATACTCTTGCTCATTCTGTCACTAATACGACTTTTAAGGATCTCAACATTAACATTATCAGTACTCTCTACTACTATTCATTATACCTCCGATGGTCTCATACTGTAACATACATTTACTTCAATCTCTAAATATATTGTCATATGTTGTATTATAATGTACAGACTTAGACTATGAGTATATTTTTTATATGTATATACCTATATATACATTTTCCATTCTCTATATATTATGTTGTTATATAATTATTATTTCTATTCTTTAACGCTTTGAGCCACTATAATGAACAAATTTCCCCCCCGGGGTTCAATAATAATGATAATTTCTGATTCTGATTCTGATAAGCACCATTGCAGTGACAATGAAGCACAATAATATGAATAAAGGAACCACCTCTGAGTGACTGAGCCAGAAATACCTTTCACAGTGTTTCATAAGAGAAACCAATGACGCAGGTATTAAAAGCAAGACACACAAGAAGTGATGGAAAGAGATAAAAAGGATATTAGTATTAAAAACAAGATAATAACCTTAAAAACACTCCTAAGGTGTAAAAAAACAAAACAGAAAACACATATGAGAATTATCAGATAACATCAAAGATGTAAGAAAGAGGGGGAATTAATTAAAAGCAAGATAATAAACAACAGAAGTTGCTTGTCTTATTTATGATGGGAGTTTTTGGCACATTGAGCAAACCACTAAACGAGGGAGAGTTTTGGAACAGGTGGAGGTATGAAGGTGCTAAACAACATTGTAACAACAATATTGGATGTTTGTTTGGTAATCCAATGTAGATTGAATTACGGTAATCCAGACGAGAGAAAACATGGGTCAACAATGGGGCGAACCACTGCAGAGAGAATTGGCCGGTGATCGCACACTGAACTCACCATTCACAATCTCATCTGCAGATTTAGATTAAAAAAACAAAAACTCAATGAAAACTTATTATTTTCAGATTCCTATAACATTGGATTAGTACAACAGATAAATTCACAAAATTCTCTCTCTCTCATTCGATACTTGTTTAGGTTAGTCTCATATCATGTAGATAGTGTTTTAAAATATTCTACTATTGAGGCTCTGTGGAAGCAGGAAGTGATCTGATCCACCGATATATATGAAATAAATTCTACCTCTCAAAAACATTCTAATACTGTATGACATAAATAACTTCTGAATTTATTTTTATATTATATCTTCTAGACTGTATTTAGTATTTATATTGAATAACCAGACCAAACCGTTGAATATTTAGTCAGAGATAATGGGGATCTTAATTGTTTGGCTTATATTGCCCAGCCACTGCTCAATTGTTATTTTTATAATCTGGATACTAGCGATCCTTAGCGTTTTGATTTTTGGATTTTTGAATAGTTAACATTTTTAGTATTAATCATGTTTGATTTCACATAACTAATACTATACTGTGACTATTTATCTATCACTTCCTGGTGTTTTATTTTAGTAGTACTGAAGTATATTAACATAAAGAAAAAGCGGTTTTCTTAAATTCTCAGTGGTCTGTTAACAAAATTACCAGTTTTATAATGCAATATTATTCATTTCTGTTCTAGGGTGTCTAGGTTATCTTCATAAATGTGTGAACTAATTCCTTTATCCATACCAAATGTATATGATCAAGAATTATAATTACTGGCTTAATTTATTTTTATATTATGTATAGACTTCTCAGTGATCGCAGCGAACGTGATGCTCGAATTGTTCATTATAGTTAGGTATCTAGAAGGTTATTACATAGTGGGATTGAAAACATTATAATAAATCTGATAAAACAAATACTCAAGCTGCCCTTGAACCAAGCATGGGCACATTAGCATTGTATTATTAAATAGAGGAATGGAAATGTGTATATAAGGTTATATACCAATAAATACGATCTTAGTCGTTACAGCTGCTTGATTGGAAATAGAAAAACACTTCAGGTTAGACCTTAACCAAGTGAATTTTTATGAGCACTGTTGCGGAATGCTGGAAGATGTATATCCAATCCAAACAGTCTGCTCTTTCAGGAACAGATTGGATGAGGTAATTTGAGATTGTTCGAGGGTGGTCGTGCCCACCTGGGCCTTCTGAACCAGGCCTGTGATTCAAGCTACTGGATGCCTTTCCCTTAGCCAGAAAAACCAGTAGCAAAGAGTTTTGGATTTTTTGATTTTTTGGGCGCCAGGCTCAACAGACATTAAATTAGAAACAATGATTTAAATTGCCAAGGGCGCGGGTGGGCTAACACTTTAGCTGACGCAAAGCCCACCTATAAATTCACAATTGACTTGAACATTTTTGGGCCTTAGCCTTTTAAAATGAAAACCCAATTCCCACACATCATTCAATGGAATGTCTTCATGCCAATAAAAAAGCCTGAGAATTGGCAATATTTGCTTCAACTGGCATAATTCAGGACGTAAAATGTAAAAATAGGGTTCTTTAATTGGCCTCACAAACTTTCCAATAATTGAATTTGCAAAACTGTCTTCTCATAACGGGACAGGGGATAAACTTTATGGTTGATGTGAGCTCCAGATTTTTAATGCGTTTATATATTGGGTGAAATATTGGAGAACAATATGCAAGTGCTGTTGAAACTAATTTTTGGTAAACTTTCGTATACCTTTCAACTGATGGCTGAGAATCGCCATGGGCGAAAAATCGGTGGGTAGCGGCCCTGTTGAGCTGGAACTTCTCACTGAATTTATTAGCTTGAGTAACGATTGCTAAATGAATTTATAGGTTCTCAATTCTCTATTTCTAGGATGTTCATACGCATAGATGTCAAAAATTTATGTTTAAAGATTGTATAGATACAATTAAGAGTAAAATAAAGACGTTAAAGACGGAAGTATAACCTTTACTTTTTTAAGAGAGTATGGGCGTGGCGCTATCTTGTGATTGGACAAGTTCGATTCTTCAAAGTGGGGCTTCTTTCCATCCAAGCCAGGCGCTCCAACGCCATCCAAGACTGTCCCGTTCAAGAAAAAACTAGGCCGAGAGAGCCTGATCAAATAATGAAATAAAGATTTGGTTAGCGGAAGCAGGGCTTTCCTTCAAAAATGGCTTTTTGCGAGAGAAGAACGAGCGAAAATGGTAAACTTGGAGCTGGAGAATACAAGAACGAAGATACATTGTGACAGTGAGCAACCCATGGTTTCCTGCAATTTGAGACGCATCTACCAGCAAACCCAATGAAGAGCATCTTATTCTTGTTGTACGTCATCGCTGCTGGACTGCCAAAAACAAAGGCAGCTGGGCCCATAAATGCCCCAACATATTGTCGCGAAGGGCTTTCAGAAATGGGTACTCCACCAAGCTATGAGGTTTCAAAGTCCATGATAGGGCCTGCATTCAAAAGATGTGTTAGTATCCATGCAATCCAAGTTAAAAAAAAAAAAAGTGTTTCTTTTCTGCATAAAACTTATTGAAAGTGTTTTATTAATTTTTCTTGAATGGAAAGACTTGGTTGGTATAATGCAACGATAAACCCCATAAATTTTCATATCTGGCTTTCCAAGGTTGCAGAGACGTGTGAGTGGCTGTTCGTCGGTTGGAGTGTCTGCCAGATAGTTGAAGAGGAAGAAAACAAGTTTGACCAGGAAAACATAAGATGAAGAACCACCTACTGGCTTCTGTAGGGACCCAGGGGCCCGCTTCCAGGCAGCAAGGGAAGGTTCTGTAATCAGCAAGCTTGGTCGCTCCCAGGCCTTGTTGGATGAGAGGTTGCTGCCCAACTGCTATTGGAACCGCTTATTCCGTGCGATGATTTTTGCCCTGCCGTAACCTGGGGCAAACGAAGGGCTTGTGCTGGCCACTTGGAAGGGACGGGTAGGGCCATTTATTGTAATCTTATAGCTTAGTGATGTTCACGGTGGGAATTCATGTTATTTCCTAAAGACAAGTCGATAATTCTTAGAAGGGTTCATCCCGATCTTTGTGATTTTTGAAGTACACATGAATTAGCTGTTAGAAGCTGACGAGATGATTTTTTAACAACTGTAGAACTTCCTTGTTGGTATGTGTCGGGTTTAAAATGTTAAAAAATGAAAGCCTGATTGATATGGGAATCCTGATATGGGTTGGGAAAAGTAATAATTTTTCAGCGGGGTTCTTAGTAAGTGGATGCATGACGGGATAACAGCGGATATTGTGATGGCCTGTAGGCCGGAATGGGTTTCAAGCATTCCTCCAAAAAACTGCAAAGCTCTTGTGGGTGTTTCCAGCGTCTGCAGAGGTTCAGTACCTCCTGAAAGTGGTCCAAGGAAGGGAAAAGAGGTTAAAACCGGGGGAAACAGGCCGGGTCATTGGATGCAGTGGGAATGGGAAACGACGAGCTACTGTAGCTCAAACACTAAAAGTAAATTTGCTGTTCCTGATAGAAAAGGTGCAGAACAACACCAGTGCATCAACAAGTTTGTTGGTATGAGGCTGCATATAAATATTATTTTGACCAACCCCAGGTTGTCCCAAGGTGTCAAAGTTTATGGTCAATCTGTAAAATACAGTGAAAGAAGAATTGCGCTATTTACTATTTATAGCTGGATTCCTCAAATTAACTTTTTTGCCAATAGGGTTGCATTTGGTCGGAATTCCCCTTGAAAACACTGAAGATGTCGTTTTTGTTCCCAGGGTT